TATTTCTCTTATAAAATGTGAAATGTTTGTCAAAGGTGGTGCTTGAACAGATGCCAGTTGGTAGCTGAGGGGAGTGGATAGGTATATTTATTTATACTAATTTTATGCTGGTCTGTGACTGCAATAAATATTTATCATATATTAAAAAGTGTGTGTTGGAGGGAATGCAGCGGCACCTTTAAGACAAATTGGTTTTCATTTTAGCATGAATGTCTTCATATGCAGCACAGAGTGAGGCGGTACATTATTTACAGTGTCTCTCAACTAGTTCATAGCATTTCCCATTTCACCCACCTTTTATGCTTCCAATACAGTGAGATGGATTGGGGAAAAGTATTGGTTTTAAAGCATTTCTTAGTGCGTGGTCTGTGGATTGGGGGGACAACGTGTGAAAGCCAACTATCCCCCTTTTCTCTCCCAAGGCCTGTGGGGCTCAACCCCATACTCAAAAGTGGAGAGTGAAAGAAAGAACATGGCTTTGTCTCTCTGTTCTCTCTTGCATCTGCTGTCCCATTCCTCCTTGTCATGGTGGTTTCCTCTTCCATTCTTCACATCTTGAAAGGTTTTGGGAAGCTGTGTATGCTTGAATATATCTTCATCCTAGCTTTGTGTCCAGAAGCATGTGCTTCACCTTTATTTTTGAAGATCATTCCAATTATTTCTGTTGGCAGGAAATGGTTTGAGCATTGGACTAGGACACTGGGAGACTGGGGTTTGAATCCTGGCTTGGTCATGGAAACCAACTGGGTGACCTTGGGCAAGTCACACCCTCTCAGCCTCAGAGGATGGCAGTGGCAAACCCCCTTTGAAGAAACTTGCCAAAAAAAAACAACAAACCCCTACGATATGGCCTTAAGGTCGACATAAATCAGAAACGACTTGAAGACAAACAACAATAGAATGCTGACTGTTATGATAATTCTTGAAAGGCGCGAGTATATTTAGGTACAGGATTTCGGTGCACATTTTTTAAAATAACATTTGAAATACTTCAGCATTCACAAATATTAAACAAATAGAAAAGTAATGGATTCAATGAATATGTACTCCAAACTTAATTTGCATACGATGTATTGACATTTGGTCCTGTTTTGGGGGCTTTCTCACTTGGACCTTAAGTTCTAGTACAGCAAGATACATTCTGCTTCCTCTGTGCATTATGTTTGGTCATTGTGGTTTCTTGCATCAGCATTTACAACTGTGTGAGTGTGTTCTCTCAGAAAACACAGTACGGTGTTTGTTAAGGTTTAGGAGGCCAGGCTAGAAGGCTTAATGTCTTTCTCCTTTGGTTGTGGAAATCCTGAATTGTTGTCTGGATGCAATGAAGGATTGGATATGGGTGAACAAATTGTGTCTCAGGCCAGGCAAGATGGGAATCCTGTAGGTCACTAGGAAAGCTAACAAAGAATTGGGATTTGTGTGTGTGTGTGTGCTTGTGTGTTCAGTAGTGCTCTTAGAAGGCCAAGTGACTGCTGTGCCGTGTTCAGTTGGTGCATCAGCTGCATCCTTTTCCAGGAAGGGCAGATCTGACCACAATGGTTCACACCTTAAGTACCTCCTGATCAGATTGCTGTGATGTATTCTTTGCAATAGGACTGCCCTTGAAAAGTGGGTGGAAACTACAGCAGGTGCAAAATGAAGCACTGAGACTGTTGGATTTTGTGTTTTGCTAGGGATCTGATCTCTGGTCCTTGTCTGTTCAAAAAGGTAAGGACCACATCTTGCATCCTGGGTTCCTTTCTTGATATCTCAAAGTTCCTATAGCTTTTTCATACACATTGATTCATGAAGTTGGAGAAAATGTGTATGAGGTGGTAGCTTCTGTTGGTTCCTCCAAAATAGCCTGCTTGTGTCAGTCCTTAAGTATCATAAAGTTACTCCTTCTTGATGAAGAATGCATACTCTTAGGAAGTTTATTTTGGCCTTGGCCTGGCTAGACTTCAGTCTAGCAAAAGTGTATGTGATTGATAGGCTTCAGAATATGTGTACATGAACTATTTGGAAAAGGCCTCTCCAGTCTGCTGCCCTTAGATTAGTCATGTGAAGACTCAGAAAGAAAGGGGGAAAGTTAGAAAACAATTTTCTAATTTTCCTCCCTCTTTTTTCCCCCCTGCATCGGAAAAAAATGCAAGAAAGGGATTATGAAATATTTTATTTTAGAATGTAAGACAAATTGGTAGTAAAATATCTACTCCTTCAATAAATAGTGTATATAAAGTGTATAGAAATTTTTATTTTATTTTATTTCAAGGATTTATGTCCTGCCTTTCTCCTACAATGGGATTCATAGAAATGATAGCTGAAGCTTACAAAGGAGCTAGCCATGTACAGTCAGCTCTTCTGGGCAGTTCAGCTTGAGAGTAAGCAGAATATTGGTACATCCAGCAATAAAGGGAAGCGTATACCCTCTTTCCTTTCAAGTCACATTTTGTTGTTGAAATTATCTTTTAAAATTCCTTTCAGTATCCTAAGGCCTGAGATACTGCTTTCACCATGCAGGTATCTCTGCTGCTTTGCTGTCCTTGTAGTGGCAACCATTCCAGGTTGTAGCATTGTAGGCAAAACTGGGAAGGAGAGCCACTTCATGCACTCTGCTGGGAGGGAAGCTGCCTCTTTTAAGACTTTGTGACTTTAAGAAGAGTTGAGCTGCCTGTGTTTGTCCTTCCTTCCCCATCCCTTTTTCCTTTTGTGTTGCATCTCTTGAGGTTGTAAGCCTGCAGGCAGGGGCTGTCTTCTTTGTTATTGATCTTATGCTCAGGGAGTCCTTTAGAACAAGCTATAAATCCTTTAGAATCTTAGATGGAAGATCGATGGATAGATAAGAGTTAGTAGAATGTGTATGAGTGTGGAAAACATAACAGATTAAATTAGACTCTGGATTGACAACCGTTTTTAAACAATATTTTAAGTTACCCAGTTTCTTTGGAAATTCTGGAGCTGCCTAGGAGTGATCTTTCCCACAAACCCCTTGGAAATAAGCTTTTGGGCCCTATGGAGGGTGAGTGGGAGTGGGGAAGGGTTGCACCACACAGTCTCCTTGTGTTTGTGTGCCTGCGATTTAAACAGGCTCGGTCCTTTTCCTTTCCAGCTGCAGTGTAATGCTAGCTTTTATAACCCCCCTCAGGTCCACACCCGGATCTGTAATGCAGCCAGTACACAGATGCATTGTTTGAGGGCCTGCATTCCTCAGAGATCAAAGAGTCACTGGGCCACATCCACCGAACATCTGAAGCTGTTACAATCCTCCACAGCCCTTCCGGATCCAGGTGCCACACAATTATTGGGTTAAAGGCACCAAGAAGGGCTGCTTCTAGGCCTTTTTTTGTTGCTGTTTTATTCAGACTACTTTGATTCACTACAGCTGGTGAAAACAGAGTCGGTCTAGGCTTGTAGGGTGGTAGCTCATTTCATGCTCAGAATTGTAATTATGTTCCTTCCTTTCAAGCACACAGCTGTAAAAGATGTCTTCCACTAAGCATTTTATAAAACTTCTAGGTGTTGAAAATCCCTGCAGAGTGTAGGAAACATAACCAAAATTTACCAGCATCTATAAACTTTAATTGTACTGTAATTCCCTCTTTAGCAGAGGCATGCGTGTCTGCCTAATTTTCTCCATGTATAGTGGCTATAGTGTTGCTTTTAGCCAAAGGTGCAAATGAGACCATTCCATAGATGAAATGTAAGTTGTGCTGACTTGCCCAGCTGTCATTGACATCTGCCTGTGCAACTTGACTGTAGCATCACCCTGAATATTTTACTGTTTAAAGCCTGTTCATTATCTCCTAATCTCGTTGAGACACTTTTAAGGCACAGCCAGTTAGGTTACTTAGTAAACGTGAACTTAATACGTTTCATCTACTCAGAGGACACAAACATTTGGATGGAAAGCAAGGAGGGCTTGAGCTCATTTTGGTTTTGTTAAATGTTTCTGACACCTTATGCTGTGGAAGAATTGGTCACTTGATTTTATCTGAATCTCTAAACTTTGAAAATAGTTGCTTTATCCTTTGAGTTGGTAACATTAGTATATACAGGTTGTGTGCCTTGTTCACCACTTGTAAGAGTTCAGGCTTTGTGACCTCATCCCTTTAACATGGTTCTTCTACAAGTTGTTTGGAACAATCTTGGCATCTCCAATTACTTGGGATTCTTGTTTGGGAGCACAGGAATGTAACACAAGTCCCAGTGGGACAAATGTTCTTTGTGTCAGGGTCTTAAAAGAGGCTTCTGTTCCCTTTAGCCTTGCCGTTTCTACATACGTGGAGTGTCCCTAACCTAAGAATTTTTATTTTGCAGTGACAGTTGCAGAACAGTTAAAGCCAGATGGGACACAACAGTATTATTATTATTATTTGAAAAAAATACTTTCTGCCTCCAAGAATCCTTTCCTTGTGAATGTGTCTGTTTGTCATTTATGTTGGAGCTCTGCATGCTGCAAGAGGGTTGTAGGGCGCACATTTGGTTCATTTGGAGCATTGCAGAGACCTGCTGGGCATTGCTGTCAGCTGGCATCAACTGAGTGTGTGTACACTTTGGTATAGAGATGAAGCAAATTCAAGATTGTTGAAAATATAGGTTGCATTTCTCATATCCAAAATCCTTTGAGTCCAGAGATGTTTTGATTCTGGGGATTTTTAGAATTTGGAATACCTGTTTTTACATATACTTACACAATGAGATACCTTGGAGATGGGGCCCAAGTTTAAGCACAAAACTTATGTTTCATGTACATCTTCTGCACAATTTTTATACAGTATTTGTATTAATTCTGTGCATGAAGCAAAGTTTGTCTACCATCAGGAAGCAAAGGCATCATTATCTTAGCCACCCATAAACAAGGTTTTGGTTTTGAAATTCTGAATAAGGGAGACTCATACCTGGGTTATTTTGTTCTAGAACCTCAAGATCTGCTTGTCGGAGCCAGGTGGAAATCAACATAAAATGGAAGAAAAAAGCTTCTTTGAGCATGTGCTGATCCTGGGAATTTGTTTTCACTGCATGACAGTGGTGTAGTGGTTTGAGTGTTGGACTACAACTCTGGAAACCATGGTTCGAAGCCTTGCTGTGCCATGGAAACCCACTGAGTGACCTTGGGCAAGTCACACTCTCTCTGCCTCAGAGGAAGACAAAAGCAAACCCCCTCTGATCAGATCTTTCAAGGAAATCCCTGTGATAGGTTTGCCTTAGGATTGCTGTACAACAACCAGAAATGAACAGAGCTCACAGTCCTTTTGCATAAAAATCCTTTCCAGTGGTCTGTCTTCATCTCACTAACCTAATTTAGGTTGGAAATGGTGCATTGTTGTTGCTTGTGCTGAATAATTGAGAGTCAGATTCTCTTGCTGGTCTTCTGCAAATCAGCCCGAGATTGACCAGTAGACTTTGATCAGCTTTCTGCTGCTTCTCATCTTACATGCCCAAATGCTCCTTTTTCAGATTGCAGGAGAAGATGGCCAAAGGCAGGCGTGTTCAGAAAGCTTGTCTACTGTTGCTGAACTTACACTTTAGCCATGCTTGGAACCCTTCCAAAGAACACAGGCACAGTTTGGAAACTGCTGAAATACTATGCTGTATACTTTGAGAATCCTGTTACTCTTGATGGTTTTTAAATTAACCTGCAACTTTTTGGGGAATTAATAGCAAGCTAGGAACTTGGTCAGCTTTCCTTTGCTTTCTTTCTAGTGCATGGTACAAGTAAGAGGTTTAATTTTTATTATTAATGAGTCGCAGCTATAAGGCCTATCCTTTCCATCTTGTAAAAATGATCACAGAGTATAGTGGATTGATTTTAAAACAGAATACAGTGGTCCCTTCACATTTGCTGGGGTTGGAGTGAAGGACCCCCGTGAATGTTGAAAAACCACAAATTAAAACAACAACAACACTATTCTTTTTACCTGAGGGAACACCTAGGAATCTCCAGGTCCTCCAGTGCAACTTTATGGTCAACATCTGCCAGAAGTTCATCATAGAGTTATGCTGGAAGACCTACATATGCCTAGAGAAGTGTTTTCTTTAGGAATTTCTAGGTCTTCCATCACAACTCTGTGGTCAATTTCCATTAGAATTGCGCTGAAGGACTTAAGAGATTCCTAGAGGAAACATATTAATAAAATCCGCAAAAGTCAAAAACTGAATAGTCTCCACATACCACTTGCAAGTATAATAGTAATAAAAAAACCTTTGATCAACCTTTTAGGAAATCCATTATTTTTATTTTTTAGGTAGAGGAAGGGTTGTGAATAAAGGGGTTGTGAGCTCAGACTGTATTGTTCCGTATTGTTAGGTAATGTAGGTATGTTAGGGCCCTACTCACACATAAACACAAAGCCTTCTAAAGTAGCACATGAGAAAATGGTTTGCCTTGTTTGTTACATGAATTCACTGGGGAAAATGGATATGGTTTACCTCTTCCTGTTGTGACTCTTAGGGAGGTGTCTTCAGATACAGACTTCATCTCAAAGGCTATGCTGCGCCTCAGCTGTTGGAATTTTGTAATTTTCCCACATTATTGTCCAACAAGCCAGTAATCTCTCAAGGTGTTTTTGGTATTTGGATTGTGGGTGCATGTTTGCATGCACAGACACATAGCTCTGGTTAACTCAGTGTTACAAGTGGGTTGTGACAGTATGGCTCACAGAAAAGCTTTTGGGTTTGCCTGGAAAAATAATACTTTTTTGCTTTGTTGTATATTAATTGAATATTCCTCTTGTGTTTTTTTTAAAAAAGAAAGTCATGACTGTAGAGGGGAAAGCAGCCATATCGGCTTTATTATTTACATAAAAAAGTTTTTTGGGTTGTGTGTGGAGTGTGGATTCAGTTATGGCTCAGAGGAATCTAATACAGTTTGGCTCTAGGAATGTAATGTGGCTGTTTACAAGGTTCTGTTTACAAGGGCCATATGCAAACTGTAATGACAGACAACTTTGCTCAGAATACAACAAGAAAAGGATTCTAGGAGAACACAAAATAAATCTTTATCCCTGCTCCCAGAGTGAGATGTAATCAAAGTCAGTATACTGGAGAATGTTGCAGTGCAGGCTGAGTCTCCATTATCTGAAATACTTGGGACTTGAAGTGTTTAGGACTGTTTCAGATTATGAAATATTTGCATATACAGTGGGTCCTTGGTTTGCTTTTTGGAATTTACTGTATATATTCATATATAAGTCTAGAAATGTTGTCAAAAAATCGACCCCAAAAACCTAGGTCAACTTATCCATGGGTCAGTGTTAATACTATACTTTAATTCTTATTAAAAAGGGAACCAACCCCTGTTGAAAGGCAAGATTGCAATCTGTCCTGGAAGCACTGATCTCCCTCTTCCATCCAGCTATTAGTGTAAGCCAAAATAGTTATGCCTGCCAGAATTTTGTAGGTTCTTTGGCATTGTTTTTCTTTGCTTCATCATTTAGATCCTTTGTTGCATGCCCCTAAGTTTAGCCCCCAACTTATCCAAAATCCTTAATTTTGCTCCCCAAACCTCCCCTTGACTTATACATGAGGTCAACTTATAGTCGAGTATATACGGTATATATTTGGATAGTTGAGTCTGTGGGTAAGAAATCCGTAGATATGGAGGGCTGACTGTATATAATGAGATACCTTGGAGATGAGGCCCAAGTCTAAACATGAAATTCATTTATGTTTTGTATATACCTAACACACATACCCTGAAGGTAATTTTATAAGCAATATTTTAAAAATAATTTCCTGCATGAAACAAAGTTTGTGTACATTGAACCATCAGAAAGCAAAGGGGTCATTATCTCAGTCACCCATGTGGTCACTTTTGGATTTTCGAGTATTTTTGATTTTGGAATTCTGGATAAGGGACACTCAACAAGTATTCATAGCGGTCCCTATTTTATTTTGTTAACATGTGAGATCTAAGCTGCTTTTGTGTTGGGGCTGTTGGAAACAGTTGTTTTGAAATAGATGATAGTGCCATTATGTTAAAGTAACTTTCTGAATCCCACATTAGTAGTGAGAGGTAACCATTTGGGAAAAGAAGGCCCAGTGTGTCCACCTTAGTTTATTTTTCAAACAGCTGTAGTAAATAAAGTGAAAGGTTATGTTATCGAAGTTGTACGGATGTAATTCTGGACTGGTGTATTGCTCACTGTGACCTTATGGGAGTTTAGTATTGTGATGTCCAGTTGGAAAGATTTCATTGCAAGGCTTCTGTTTCTTTTGAAAATGCATCTGTTATTTAGGGAGTGCAACATCCTATGGTGTCATCCATTCGGTAGAAATGTGGTAACATCTAAAACTTTCAGCAATATGAAATGGACATTTCTATTCTGTGCTGTTTGTTAGCGTTTATGAAAATAAGAATCAGTCATTTATGGAAAAGAGCTACCAGTGTGGAAGAGCAAAGAAAACAAATCCTACAAATTGGGGAGTAGTGACCCTCAAACCCCAGTGGTTTAGCTTTTCCTTTTCCTTGAATGATTCAAAGTCCCAGCTTGAAAGAAGGGAAACTGAGTAGACACACAATTCTAAGAGGGCACCTCTCAATCTCGAGGGCCTAAATACCCTAAAGGCTCCAGATCCTGTCTGATCCCATAAGTACCCCAACCTCAAAATATCTGCCATAAAGTTCATTAAGAAGCTCAGTTATGAAATTATTGTGTCTCTCAGCTTAAGGAACTGAATGAACAGTGCCAGAAAAGGGTGGTGTGTTTGTTCCTGGATATCAGAAAGATATTCATCAGTGGAAATTTAATGGACCATTTGCAAATGACTGATGCAACCGTGTCAAACTAGTTATTGGTTTTCCTTTTGATTTTGTGGGATCATCAGTTTTGATAAAAACATTAGACCAAAGCTAACTTTGAAGAAACTTACATTTTTTTCAGCAACAAAAATAAAATATTTGCTCTTCAAGTAGACCAACAGATTTCTGCTTGAGAGTGGTCCCCAAGGAGTTGCTTCATCCGAATGCATTATTATGTGGCTCATAAGATGAAGTGATATTTATCAGTGAAAGTTGTCATCTCAGTTTTGAGGATTTCACTCAGTTGAATAAAAATTGGGACACCTTTAGTGCCAATTAGGGAATTGTGTAGAATGAGGTTGCCTTTGCACACAGTAGTATTTCCTTCTTTTTCAGATACATAGTTTATAGACTGGAGAATGGAGAAAAGCAACCTATGCAGTTTTTTTATGGTTTTGCATGTAGCTGAGTGGTGGTGAAGAGAAAAGCCAATAGATTATGCATTCAGGAAGCTGATTTCTTGTTTGCGGAGTAGAAATGGTGGCAAAACAAAGCTGGTTTTTGGTTCATACATTATGCTGCTTTTCTTGATCTTTAGTTTTAGGAGTAATGACAATTTGTCCAGGAAATGACACTGAAGGCAAACTTTCTCAGTTTTTAGTGACTTCAGCAGTGTCTAGTAATTTTATTTGGCATACAGTTTACTGGATAGTGGGAGGATGGGGTTCTGCAGTACAAAAGGCTCAAAGATTGATTATGATCTGAAGAGTGGCCATGACAACAGTTGTCAGAACCTAGCACAGACATCCTGACACAGATAAGCAGATTAACACATAGTGATTTTATCTGTCTAGGAGGTTATAACCCTTGTCTTGTCCTGGTTACAAAAATTTTGAGTTTAATCTCTTAATGAGTTCTTGTGGTGTGGATCTGTTTGAGTGTGATCATTGAGGTCAGAAGAACCAGGAATGCTAATAGTACAGACCATGAAAATTGGCTAAATAATGGCCATTAACAAATGTTAGTTGGGTGGTAATACAGGCATTCCTGCATAGATGAGCTGATTGACCCAGGAAATGATTCGGTGGGGAGTGATAACTTTTCCTTCTAATCCTGTAGTGGGGATCGTGTCACCCTTTACATATTGTTGGACTTCCTCTCCCAATATCCCTAGGCAGCATAGTGAATATTGAAGAATGCTGGGAGGTGCAGTCCAACAACATCCAGAAGGGTTCATGATTCTAGCCCCCTTGTGTTAGGCCAGCCTTCCCTAATACAGTATGTTGCTTCCAGATGTTATGGACTGCAGCTTAGAGGATCTACGACAGTTGACCACACTGAGCTGGTTGGA